TTTTTCTTTTTTTTTTTTTTTTTTTTTCCTCTTTTGTGTGTTTTGTTTTCCTGCACGGTAACTCGGGTCGCTATGGGGAAAGCTGAACGAGTAATTAAGAGCAGAGTCAACAGGAGTAATCCCCGAGGCACTGCACCAGTAAACGAGAACAAAAAAAAAAAAAACCCAAAAAACAAACGGGGGACTGGTCGCTTATACCGCTTGGTTGCGCAAAACGTTGACTAGGTGTGAGTGGAGGGAGTGATAAAAGCCTGTTGTATTTCCTCAAGTGGGGCAGTGAAGCTGTCGTTAACTTTAACTTCTTGGCATCTTTATTCTGCTGGGGTTTGGCCTCTCGGGCGGTAGGTGTGAGTGTAATCCCCGTCAGGAAGTTTTAGAGGTGATGCCCTAAAATGACACAACCAAGTTTCAGTTCCTAGAAGCTGGAGTTTTCCCGTTATCTGCATTACTCCAACAAACTACAGGAAATTCATAACTGACTTCACGTTTTTGCCATTTGCAACTAGAGAAGGAAATGTATTTATAAAACCGCTTTATATACAGAGGCTTTGGCTAGGTAATCTGAGTATAAATAACTGTAGATCTATTTGGGCCCCGTGCCTAATGGCACATGCTAGTTCTCGTATCCTTGGAGAGGATCTACATTTCATTCTGTAAGTATGTTAGTTATTAATACCTAACAGTGGTTGCTCTGATGCTAACCTCGTCTGGGACTTGGCAAGGCTTTCACTTTACGTGCTACTGAGGTTGTTTCTTCTGTACTCACTGTGTTTTGGAGGCTAAAACTGGCTACCCATTATTTTTGACAAAGTATCTGCGGAGTAAATAGCATTAGACATAATTTTGGTTATTAGATGTCATGATTTTGGCTGTTTCCCACATGAAATGCTTTGAGAAGCATCTGAAAAGACTAATCCTCACTAAAAGTAGTATTCCTACACTAAAAGTAGTTATTCCTGATTGTTTGCTAATTAGCAACCAGTTGAATAGCTGTGGTAGAAAAACACCTTCAGTCATTCTCAGACCATGCAGGGTTTGATGGAGCAGCACAAAGGTGGAGACCTATCTCCAGTGTTGCTGGCCTTGCCTTCAGGCCAGCTGATCTCCCATATACATTTTGGTTTAAACCTGGTGGGTTGTTCCCATGGCTGTGGGGGAAGGTCCCTTCCCCTCGTGGTACCTAGGAGTCTGCCATGCTTTTGCTCTCTGACAGAGATGTGCTTGTTCAGATTCTGTAGTCTTTGCAGAAGAAAATAAATCGCAGGTGAAGTGCATGCCACACAGCAAGTGGTAATGAGAACTTCCCCTTCCACCTCAGCCTCCAGCGCTGTTTATTATCAAGTGTTATTACCGTTTGATGATGCAAGTGGTAATTTCTTGCTAAAGAAATGGCAGCTCTTCCAGTCAGCCTTAAAGGAGTCGAAGGGGGATTCACTTAAAATTTTTTAAATTTTTTTTTCTCCTTGTTTATTTCTTAGAGGTATGTAACTTCTTGCAGACTGTCCATAAGTAAGATTCCTCTGATTAAATTCCAGATGTCAGGTTTTAATATCTTGATGACAAAAGAGCAAGAATATCACAAGTGTTTGAACTGAAAGTACAGGGGTATATGACAGAATATTGCGCACTTTAGAAAAATCAAGAGAGAACCGAAGTTAACTGCAAGTTTAAAAATTCCAACAGCTTAGTGTATTCCAACAGCTAGTTGCATATATTTCCTCAAAAAATGCTAAACTCAACACTATTTCTAAGAGAGAAGATGATAGTTCTGAATTGCTTGAGATTAGAACCAGATTTTGCCTTTAATCAGAGGCATAGCTGATACCTGGTATCTCTGTGTTTAACCCCTTGGAATATTTTGCAATTTCCTAAACTCTATCTGAAGTAATCTTTGAAGCTTTAAAACCTCTTAAGGAGAAGAAAAAAATGTGTATACATATCTGAAGAATGTACTGTTTCTGGAACCTGGACTTTGAATGTTAACGGTAGCATTGGGTGAATCTGCAGCACCCATAGTTTGTAAGTAGTTTGACTTTTAATTAATCAAATTAGTTCTAGGGTGCGTTTTCCCCATTCTTTTTAGCTGAGTTGTTAAAAAATCACATGAATGCTGGATCTCCAGAGCTGAAGGGGGTTCTCTTAATCTGTTAATGTGAAATGACCCAAAGTCGTGGTGTGTCGGACATGGCTGTGGGCGCGGGTGGCAGGCAGTGCCGCAGAGGATGAGTGGGTGAAGGTCCATCTTGTAATGAAACAAACACTGTCTTCCTACAAGGAAAGGAATAAACTAGGACATGTAAATGTATTTTTCTTTTAAATTATATATGTGTGTTTAAAAATATTGAAGCTCCTGTGAAGAGTTAAGCAGGAGCGCTAAAGAAGTGACTGTGCTACACTGTGGAAGCCTTCAAGTTGCAGAGTTGCTCGAGAATTTTTGCATTTTTGATTGGCTACCTTGATTTGCACACCAACAGCCTGCTGTAAGTTCAAGTTGTGAGCTTGTCTGCTTTTTAACTTCCAAGGAAAGCCCGGTGGAATGGTGAGAGATGGGGAGTTGGGCTTGTTCTGGCATGTGGGGCTTTGAGCATCTTCTCACGGCCAACTTAGAATAGGTGAAACGGAGTCGATGTTTCCATCATTAAAGAGTACTATTTCCGAATATAAATTACTCCTGTGATTAATAGTAACAGCTGTAATACACTCATTGATGTCTTTTTCTTTCGTGATTGTATTTTCTAGGCCTTGCCTCTGCAAGTCATAGTGCCTTTAAACTGAGGGACAGCTCCCAACAGCAGTAGCAGTGGAGAAAATGCAGTGTACTCTGTGTTTTTTAACATCAGCAGGGCTTTTGTTGGCGTCTGTTTTCTGAAGCCACTGCATTGTTTTTCTCATTGCTTTTTCAGCAGCTGCATACATTACAGTATATTAATATTTAAATATCCCCAGCAATTACTGTTAATGATCATGCATCTGTTGCATGAGCAAGGTTTTGATTTTGTTGCCTTTTTTTTTTTTTTCTTCCTTTGGGATGAGTAAATTGCATTTCTCCTTTTTGAGTTTGATTATATAACGGTATCACAAACGTCACATGGGGAGTCTGGCTTAGTGCTAAGCAAAACCCCATTCTCTAGAGCTCCCAGGCAGAACTCTCACTACACAACCATTTCTCCTTATTTCTTACTCCAGTTCTCTTTAGCTAATCTTGAATGCTACAGATGCAGCTTGAATGCTACAGATACAGATGCAGAAATAAGGACAAACTTTTTATTCTTGCTTTGCTTTTGGATCACAAAATACACTGAAGGTGTGTTTTCAGGAGTTCTCTAGTTGTTTTGTGGGGACTTGGTGGAAAGACTCTGTCTCTGAGCTCTTCTTTGACACTGCCTGCCAAAAACAAAGATATGTTTGGTCTCTGTTGAAAGGTTCACTTACGTGACAGGTGAAAGAGGGCTGGGAGGCTGTCTGCTGTAGCTAGCACTTAGTGTGGTGTAAAATCTTTTTTTTTTTTTTTTCAGCAGGTTGGGTGGGCAGGGATATGCATCATCTGAGGCTGCACGTTATACCTGCACTGCCTCTGCCAGTCTCACTCCAGTGCTGTTGAAGTAGCTGCTGGTTAGCATCCAGTATCGATAAGCCTGACTGAGAAGTCTGGCAGGAATGGCCCGTTGATGAAGTTATCCAAGTCCCATGAATGCGGTGTTCAAAACTTGCAGTAAGAAAGCTTGTTCCACAGATGCCAAGCATGTTTCTTGTATTTCCTGTAGTTTTTCACAAGACAGCATCTCTCTTGCTTTTTGTATTGTGACACATACCACGTGATGGGACAGCCGTTGCTAAATAAAGCGTGCACTTAGTCTTGAAATGTTACATTCTCGGAGCTGGGACTTCTGCGTTCAACAGGAAAGCAAATGGATCATTTTTTTTCCATGCTGTAGTTCTGGTAAGAGCAGGTAGGTTGCTGGTGGTGAAGACTTGCTGTTAAACTACAGAGTAGAACTGAAGCAGGATCCTCAGCTCCTTTAGGTTTATAAAAGTTATTAAGTTAAAGCAGAGAGGGAGACTTTTCCTCCCTATCAGTGTGGATTGTTAATACTTTTTATGGTTTTAGGCTAATACTTTGTGCTAACTGAAAAGTAATGTTCCCGTCACTAATGAGTTTACAGGTGTTGCTTAATGCTGACAGCCACTTAATACCGGTCTGTGTAGGGAATGTGTTTCCTTGACTTTCACAGGCGGCCTGCAAATCACTCCTTTAATCTGGTATTTCCACTATGTCATAATAAACCGGGGGGGGGGACGACTATCTTTAGGTAACTTTCCACAGAGGAACTTTAAAATGATGCATAATATGACACGTCCTTGAGAGCTGTAACACTGGTGTGTGACAGGGATACAAATTACAGATAAACCAGCCAACTGGCTTCAGAAGCCTTGGGTAACTTCATAAAGTTCAAGATACTGTACGAGACAAAACCTGATTGTTCTCCACCACCTCCATATTCCATCTTGCTTGAAAGGCCAGGAGCAGCTCTAAAACCCCCAGTCACTGGAAAAGAGGACTAGGAACTTCAGTATTGGTTCCCAGTTATTTTGCTGACTTCCGTGACTTCAGTCAAATATTGTGGATCTAAATTTGCAAATTATGTATTATTACTTGCTATTACTCACTTTCAAGATTAGCAATATCCAATGACCAACCTGACTCACTTCCCTCTTTATCCAAGGCACACACTGCTCAAGCCAAGTTCAGTTGTGGGCACAATAAAACGTTTACTCATTTACCTGGAGTTGTTAAAATCTATGGATATTTTTCAAAATCAAGATTTTGCTTTATAATAAAATGGGTTCTGCTTAAGGTGGAGACTCGGAGTTACTTGTTAAAACTGGCCAGTTTTGTTGTTCAGACTGAATTGTAGTTGTGATGGGTGAATACAGAAAACAATTCATTATATAATTCTAGGTAGAGCTAAACTAAAACTTCTAGATTCCTTAATGTAGTTTCTTTCTAAGCAAGCTGCTGAATGCCGTCTCCGTTAGATAACAAGACTCCAGTCCTTTAAGTACCTGTGGCATCTATCAAGTCAGGATAAGGTTTGCATGTCTGCAGCACTTTAAGATAGTCCAGCAAAATCAGGGAGTGTGGTCCTGAAGCAACATTCTTTCATCTGAAAGTGAGAATTGTGTTTTTCTAAGCTTTGTGGGGGCTTCTTGGCACTTTATACTTTGGGCTTTTTACAGGATGGGGTGAGAAAGGTGAGTTTCGGTATCTCGGCATCAGAAATGTGATGGCTGTGAGTGCTGGGTTTCACCCTGGGGCGTCCCCACTTGGCAGTGGGCTCCTGGCAGCCTGGGACCAGCCTTTTCTGGCAGGATAAGGAGCTTCCTACAGCATTCGGAATGCTTCCCAGCACGTCCACATTTTGTCAGGGTGCATTGCTTTTTTTAGCTGTGTGGTATATGAAACCACTATCTCTTGTTACTTCCTGATTCTGGAAATACCTTCAGTTGGTGTCATTGCATGACAGAACTATCATGTTTGTTTTCTAAGTGTAAGGATTCTTTGGCCAAAAAAAAGCTTTACAGAGACTTTATCTCATGTCCAGCTAATCTTGCACCGCATCTTACTCTACTTCCTTGATACAACAGTCTAAGAATTGTGGTTTTCTTAGATTTTCTTAGATTTGCACCTGTGACAGCTGGAACATAAACCAAGTTCCAAATGTCCTGTCCCTGGAGTTGGTAGGCTATGGGGTATTTGCTTTTCACTCATAAGGCAAATGTTGCTCTGACTTTCTTAGACAATAAAAGAACAGGATTTCTACTGCTGCCCATTATTCATTCTGCTAGAGAAAATGGGGGAAGAGGAAGGCACCTGAGAGTCTATACTTGAATGTCAGTATACTTAATTCTGCATAAATGTTACTTGGACTGCATTCTGCCCTCGGCTATCTTGTGCAACTTCTAGAGACTACTGAAGATGAAAGCAGAATTTGGCTTTAATTTGACTTCTGATCTAAACCTGATGAGTTTGGTCAGAGGAGTAGTGCTAACAGTGGCTTATCTCAAGGAACATTCAACATAAATGTCCAGTTTTAGGCATTTTCTTTGACAGGCACTCTTGGATTTAAAAATCTGAAAATTTTTGCTCTTTTCTTGCAGATGAGACTGATACAGGCCTCGGTTTTTGTGGATGGATCCTGGTGATCACTTCACTTTTTTTCACTATTATTACATTTCCTGTATCAATCTGGATGTGCATAAAGGTAAAATTGTTCATTGCTAAGTTGGATTAAAATTTTAAGCAATGCAGATGCTTCATAGTGCTTATTATTGTACTCTATTCTATTTGTTTTAAACACAAATTAATCTAACTCTTCTTTCAGTATATAGTGGACCCAAACATTTCAGTGCATTAATCTTCAAACCAAAAAGTGCAAATTACAGGATTCAGTCAAAATTATTTTTGCATTGACATCTTTACTACATCTACCCAGCTGTCACTAGTATATAAGCTAGTTTGGAAAATCAGAATAATTGCAGGAACGCATAATTACACTTGGATAACTGATTTTAAAGAATTTTTTTTTAAGGAGATCTTTATATATGTATGTATATAAATATGAAGTATGTAAACATAAATATATAAGTATGTACATACAGGTAGCTGTGTGTGACAGATTCTTGGAGACTGTGTAATCTGTGATGGCTTTGAGCTTGATGTTTTCAGTTTCCAGACTGGAGGAAATAATTCCTGCTCTGTTTTGGCTAATACACCCCATCAGAATTAGAGCTGGAAAAATCTTTGCTGGGTCCCATATACTGCACTTTGCTTTGGTGTTGCCAGGATATTCCTGATGGCTGCTTCTGGTGCCTGGCCCTGCCCAGATAACAAGCTGTTGCTTCTGCTGTTGATAGATGGTGCCACAGTCTGAAGAATATTTCTTGTGGAATATTGTCCTGATTGTTCCTTTTGCTGCTTGCTTTTTGACAATAAAGTTTAGGCTAAAATTCTCAAAAGCAGCCAGTATAGAAATGTATGTTGCACTTGAGACTAAAGACTTGTCTTGGCCTGGTGTATACATAGTTTGGAATCTATCATGTGGCTTCTGGAAACTCCTGCATGACATCCAACTATTGATTACAGATTATAAAGGAGTACGAGCGAGCCATCATATTCAGACTTGGACGCATCTTAAAAGGAGGAGCAAAGGGACCAGGTATGTCCTGGAGAGCATTCTTAATATTTGTTCTAATTGAGTCATCAGTAAAATAATAGCTGTCTAGAGACATTGCATTAGACTGGCAAATGGATTTCTCAAGAATTTTGTAACTTCCAGTAAGAGGATATGTTACTTTAGATGGAAAAGATAGTAAACTACTTATCTGTGAGCCTTACCCAGATCTCCTTAGTTAATAACGCTTGGTCTCCAGTTATAATAAAAAGCACAGAATGGAAAGGCAGGAATAATGGCATCACATGTGCCACTTTAAAAAAACAACTTCAGTATGTCAGTTAAAATGGACTGATGGCCTCAATGTTCTTAAAAGAAATAGAAGCAATTAAATTATTTGATAGTTCTGAAAAGTTTATACTGGAAATTCTGATGAGATCCGAATGTTATTTTCAGCTGTTGCTCCTGTTGCTCAAACTGACAGAAAGGGGCAATAGCTTCTTCCGTCATTTTCATCCAGATTTTGTAATACTTCCACATTTCTGTAAAGTTGAAGAATTTCAGTGATCCACCACAAAAGGAGGTGGAGTTTCTGCTTGCCAGAATGGGACCTCACAAGTAACCGCGTGGGACAGATTTTCAAAAGCAGCTGTTAACAGTTGTGTTGGATTTTTTCCAAATGTTAAAGATGTCTAAATAAGTTAGACCTGAATAACCTTAAGTTTCTCAGATAACTTTTTTGAAAATCTTACCCTGGTTTGAAAGCCACTAAGGAACATGCTGCTGGGCTTGTTACAAAGAGGGCTGTACAGCTGTGGTGGTTGGATTTAAGCTTATTTCAGTAACAAGTTTAATCTGTTCTAATGACCCATTTTCACTACTTCGATTTTTTTGTGCAGGTTTGTTTTTTGTCCTGCCCTGCACAGACAGCTTCATCAAAGTTGATATGAGGACCATCTCTTTTGATATTCCTCCCCAAGAGGTGAGTTTGCACTTGCCTTTGTATCTGCTAAAGTGTTGGCAGATTTTTTTTGCACATTCTCTTTCCTTTCCCCCTCTTGGTATTGGGTAACATGTAGTTTTAGTGTAGATTACTTGCAGGTTCAGTGTATTGTAAAGAATACATATATTCTTTAATAATATCATCCGCTAAGAGAAGATCCTTGACAGAAAACCAGTTATGCTGTCCTCTAAGGAGCAAATAAGATAACTTAATACTGCCTGAGAGCTTGAATGGGAGGGGTTTGGAATGAAATCTGCTGGACTTTGTGCAACATTCTCTATTTGTTTCTGTGAAACCCAGATTTCCAGAAGCAGCAGTGAGCTTTCACATGGTGAATTATCTAGATGTATAAACTAGGTAAAATAATGGGATGGAATTATTACATACATCAAATGCTATTAAGAGCAAGCCAGGGCAACAGTCCGCTCCCTTGTGTGGGTTTTGTGTGCACACTGCTTCTGTGTCCTGCTGTGCACAGGACCATTATAAAGGTGTTCCACAGCTAAAGGCATTGATGTCTTTCAGTTTGAAGGTCCTAAAGACCAAAAAAATTACTTTTCTTTCTATTCTGCTTTCCCCTGGACATCTTAATTTTTTAGCAGAATCACTCCACAGCGTTAAGCTGAACTTGGTGATGCCAACTCAAAGAATGACATAAGAATAAAACAACTAGCCCTCTCAAAATAAGTTAGTGAAAATTGTGTGTTGCTGATTGTAACTGTCTCCCTCATGTATCTGGTGTATTTTGCAAGACAAAGATGCCTGATGCAACCTGCCTGGTGCATCTGGTTCCTGTCATATTTGCTAGTTGGTTTATTGCTCATCATTAGTTGTAGATTTAGACAAATGGCAACTGTCATGGTATCCTCTCAAGGCTAATTGGTAGAAACCTAATCACTGGCAGGCAGAATGTGCTTGCAGCTGCTGATGTGCCATTAGTAAAGCCATCAGTTCTACAGTTTTTCTTTTGGCTTGATTAAATTATGCTCATGGATTTAGCTTGGTTTGTTTTCAGTAGGTAAAAGCAGAAATATATCTTTATTTGTTGAACATGGATTTCTTTGCATGCTACTCATTCTTTTGTTTATCTTACGCTATTATCAAAACCCTGCTAAAATAGGTAGTTTGGGGAAGGACAGAGCAGGTAAGTTGTGAAGGTTCAGTAACTCACATGTCCCTCTCTCCTGTCAAATAACATAATACTAATTGTCTAACGTAAAATTGGGACACCTCTTCTCATGGTTGTCTAGCATATTTCAATCTCTTTTTAACTTCACTTTAAAATATGATTGATATTAATGCTTCTTTCTGGTGTACCCTCTTCGAAACCTTCAAAAATATGTCTTCATCTTTGTAAGTACATCTTTTGCTTAACTACAACTGTTAAATTCAGTAAATCGCTTACATCCGAGCTCTGAGGATGTCCACAAATTGGATTTCCTCTGCAACTTGTCTAGAAATCACCACAGACTCATTTGGTAGCACGAGGTGGGATTTCAGTCAGAAGTACCTCCAAGGACAGTGAGCTGGTAGATAATGACAGATATTTCTAATTCAGTGTTGAAGCAGGGCTGACACCCACGCAGCTGAAATACATCAGGCCATAGGGACAGGCAAAACCAATTCTGTACGTAGCTGGACATACCTCAGTGAAACCTTCCAGTCCCTTCTAGCATCTCTCATGGGCATGGCTCTCTGTTCCTTTAAGCTTCATTGTACCCTGACATCCTTTTTTGCAAAGTTCTGCAATTCTAGAAGGTAACTTGGGCAGCCAGTGCTGTGCTGCAGTCTCTGGCGTTGGCCAGCCCTGTGTTAGGGACCAAGCAGGGATTGAGAAGGGCTCTCGGCAGCTGTCACACCTGCAGGATGGGAAACTCTTGTTTGTGGTGTTGCTTTGAAAGTGCACCTGGAATGTGCTGCCTCTTCCCGTGCCTGCTGCTTTAATAGGTTGCCTAGTTTGCCCTTGTTTTGTAAACTGACACACCTGCAGAGTTTTGTCTTGCTAAATCAATAGTCTTGTGACTGAAATTAAATACAAGTGAAAACCTAATGTGTCCTAAATTTGCAATTATACTCATTATGAGCCTTTTTTCTTGTACAGAAACATCAAATGAGCCTCCCTCATAAATGTTTCCAGCATGTGCTCTGACTAGAGTGCTTTAACCCGTTTTGGAGTGGTCCCACATTCCTACCTCTGCATTTAAATAAAACAACTGTGCTGATGTTCTTGAAGCCTTTTCTGTTACCTCTGTCCTTTGTTACGCATCCTCCTTGCATTCCTGCACGGTCAATCTGCCTCTTACACATCTGTTATTTCAAGCCTCGTTGACATCTAGTGGTGGGAACCTGCTCGGTTGCTAGTTTCAGATTAAAGTTCCCCAGGAGAAAGAGTTTACGTATTTCAGTGTAAATTATTTGTGATCTATTTTTTCCCCTGTCACCTGTACAAATTGCAGATCCCTCTGTGAATTTGAAGAACTGAGTTAGAAATAACATTATGGCAAAGCTAACGGAATTCATTTTTCAATGAGAAGGGTTCTAACCCCATATTTAGTCTTACCTTCGTAGAGCTGTACTGGAAGGTTTGTGCATCAAGACCTTTTGTTTTCCAGACAGTTGCTTTACTCTGAAAAAACTAGGAGTTTGTAGAGTAAAATATTCAATAAATAGATGCTTAATTACGGTATGCTTTCCCCATTGCTTTTTAGATCTTGACCAAGGACTCTGTGACAGTTAACGTAGACGGAGTGGTTTATTACAGAGTTCAGAATGCCACCCTTGCTGTAGCAAATATCACAAATGCTGACTCAGCCACCCGTCTTTTAGCACAGACTACTTTGAGGAACGTTCTGGGGACCAAAAACCTTTCTCAGATTCTCTCTGATCGTGAAGAAATTGCACACAGCATGCAGGTACGGGCAACTTTACCTCAAAGCAATCCATCAATCAGTTGGGCAGCAATCCTGTGGATAATTACAGGTCAGGATTTATTTTACCTCCTAAGTGATAAGCGAAATTGTGATTTGGAGCGTTAGGCAAAGAGCTGCTGGGATGATGTTCTGTGTCATAAAATTAAGTGACCAAGGCAGTAATGGAGTGGTGGGGCCTGCAGGTGGGAGTGAGGATACAGGAGAGGAGGGGCTCCCTGGGTCACTGCATCTGTACTCCCTGCTGAAGGGAATTACACCACAGAACTCCTTCAATATATTAATCAAGCTCTGGGTTTTTTTTGTTAGTTTACAACAGTTACACCTTTATAATTATCAAACCATGATAAAAATACATAAGTCCTTAAAAGTTCAAGTATTGTAAGATAATTCATTTGGTTTGTTGGTCATTCTTCAAATTTGGATGTTTGCAGCCAGGTAAATGGCTTAACTTAATAGTCCTGCCTTTTATAGGCCACTCTTGATGAGGCAACGGATGACTGGGGCATTAAGGTGGAACGTGTGGAGATCAAGGATGTGAAATTACCTGTTCAGCTGCAGCGAGCAATGGCTGCAGAAGCAGAAGCTGCCCGGGAGGCGAGAGCTAAGGTAATAACATCAACATGTGGGTTTGGATTATTTTTTTTTTCTTTTTTTCTCTTCATGAATAACTTAACATAGTGATGTAGAGGATGAAGAGTCTCCACCAGATTGTGCTGTAGCAAACAGGAGTGCAGGGTAGGGGTTTTGTGGATTTGTGTCTGGGTTCTTGCTCTATTTCATCGTGGTTTGTGCAGGTGAGATTTCCTTCAAGAATGCAGAACCATCTTCGTTTTTTGCCACGCTCCAAGAACAAATCATAAACAGCAATTCTGATGTTATTAGCTGAACCCTGCAATGAATTAGAATCCAAACTTACTTCCAGCTTTTTCCTGACTTTTGCCCTGATTTTAGGCAAGTGCTTTGTGTTCTGTTACTTTGTATGAGAAATAAACCCGCTGTAATACTTAGCTGTGTTACCCACTGAGCAGTGATCAGTTTGGCTGTGACAAGGGGGAGGTGATACTAAATACTGAACATTGGAGTAAAAATCATTCGGGGTAGTTAGAGCTGTCCTTTTCTAGGACTGGACAAATTAATTTCTCCCCTCCTTTGCTGTGCCCTGCAATTTGTCTCCTCTGGTCGTTTGTTAATCCTGTCTTAAAACTTACTTTGACGTTCATAGAGGCAACTGTAGATTCTGGGCGCATAATTAAAGAGGGAATAAAAAAGTATTTCCTCAGGAAGAAACATGCCATTTGCTGGCTGAGCCCTTGTAGAGAAAAAATAATAGAGCTTAGTAAAAAGCATTTTCAGATTGATGTGGAGAGCACCCGCTCTCCTGAGAGGTAGTGCTGAAAGACACACGGAGGAAGTTTTTGAAAACAGAACAAATATGCCCATTGCACGTTCAAGGCATAGTGTCACCTCTTGTGATCTGGCATCCTGATAGTGAACGGGAGGAGACCAGGTGTATGCAGCCCTGAAAGCAAACAGGAAAAGCTCGTGTCTGAGCGAGAGGAGGGGCAGAACCACCAAAAGAACAGGGTAAGGGGAGGCTGCTTGGTCAGAGCGATGAGCAGTGGCTTTGGTGTGTGGCTCAAGGCTGAAGTCATCCTACAGTTTTCTGCTTTATTACTGGGCCGCAGAGAATTCAGCTTCTTTCCTTTTGCTTCCCCAGGTAATTGCAGCAGAGGGTGAAATGAACGCCTCCAGGGCCCTAAAGGAGGCATCCATGGTTATTACGGAGTCCCCTGCTGCTCTTCAGCTTCGTTATCTTCAGACCCTGACCACCATTGCTGCGGAGAAGAACTCCACCATCGTCTTCCCGTTGCCCATAAACATGCTGCAGGGTCTCATAGGTGCAAATCCCTAGGTGGAGGGGGAGGAGAGGGGGCTTCTGCTACAGCAAACGTTGACAACACTGCATTCCCTGTGTGCTGTCGCTTACAGCGGTGTTAACAAAGCGAATTTGCTGGGGAACCTCTTCTGTTATACTAAGTGTGTTACAAAACTTATCTGTAGCGTTTGTGAATATGAATGTTTGAAATTGAAAACCTTTCAAGATAATTACAAGCAGATTGTGATCTTAAATCAGCACATACCCATGCTCTCCTGGGTGGGACACCTTTAATCTGCAACCTCCCCTTTCAGATAGTATTTAAACTCAGCTGTGATGAAGGTGAGATGATCCAACATCAGGAAAGAGAAATATTCCCTTTAATTAATGGGTCTGTAGTCCTGCAAGGGAAGGGGAGTTGTATTGGAGTCGTGGGACTGCTGTTGTGTGGATCATCCTCTAGTTTACCCAAGGAGAAGTAACAGCAGTTGATGCAGGAGTGAGAATACTGTCCTGGTACTCCCCCAAATAGTCCCCATTTCACGAGAAGCACTTGGCAGTGACACTTCCCACCACTGTCTGCCACGTGGAAATGGCATGAACAGGCAATAGCTGTGGATACAGTCTGCTGGCAGTCACCGAGGGGCTGCGCTGTTGTTACAGTGCTGTGCCTGTATAGATTTAAAAGTTGTTGGGTCTGCCTCTCTCAAAAATGATTTAAAAAAAAAAAAAAAAGAAGCCAAAGTACTGACTCTTGCGTTTTATCCAGGTTTAAAATTTACTTCTCTAGGAAGTAAGATCTGGGCAGCTACCGGGGGTGTTTAACAGCAGATGCTGTACTGTTTGTGTATCTGTTCTAACAACTGCTCCTGTTGTGACACTAAGGGCTTATACTCAAAGAATGTAATCTGCCCTTGGTGTAGTCTTGAGCTGTGAGTCTGTTGAACTGTATTTGTACGTTGTACCTGTTCAGTAGGTGTAGTTACAGATTAAAACAAGAATTAGTCTGTACGGGGGGAGGCTCTTTAAAGTGCCACTACCACGGAGTTTGGCATCTGGTCTTTAATTATTAGTGCCACTCTCACACTGGCCAGCCTGAAGTTCCTGCCTTGTTCTTTACCACCTCTCTGCTGTGCTCAGTTCTGTATTCACGGGTATTTTAGTAACAGCAAGGCCTGTGTCCCTCTGCCTTCATCACCGTTAGGAAAGAGGCCCAAGTGCTGGCAGAGCTTGAGCTCAGTGGTGCCGTTTCCTTTGTGTCCCTTTGCTGTGAAATTTTTTTTGTTCCTCTGCATCGTAAAAGCAGTTATACCCGGCTGCACGCATCTGTCTACTGCAGTTAGTGTAAGCTGAGCTTGATTTTTTTGGGGGGGAGAGACACAGCTAACAAAGCTGTAATAATTAGCACTGCTGTGCTCAGGCGCCTGAAGTGAGAAGCAGAGTAAGTGCACAGCTTGAGGTTAATCCTTGGGGGAGCTGCGTAAATCTGCACCTCCTGCTGCTGCTGCTGGAGGTGGCCACCCCTGGGAACGCTTGTTGACGCCAGGAGCGCGCGTTTTGCTCTTACCCTGAATAAAAAACGATGCTGTTTACTAACGAGTGACTTTCTGAAAGCGAAGAATACTGTTCATTTATCACAGTCTTAAATGCTAATAATTCTGGTGGGGGGAATGGAAAACAATTCCAAAAACCCAGAAGTCATTCCTGTAACCATTTGGTAAAAAGCGGACGTGCAAAAGATGGCGCAACAGAGGTTTCATTTTCTGAAGTGTATTTGTTTCAAGCAAGTTCAAATGTGGATCTACAGGTTCTGTTTAATGTTTTCTTCTTCATAACAAACCCCACCATTTCTACTCTTCACATATTCCGTACAAGCTTTATTGTATTAAATATAATCAAAGCAAGGAGTAGGGTCAATGACTGGTCATGATTGTTTTCAGTAATTATTGCACAGCTAATTGGCTATTAACATCATTGCCCTGTTAACATGCATCCTGCAGGAGGAAGTAGCTCTTGAAGGCAGTGAAGGCACTAAACTTGCTCCATTTAAAAACAAAAAAACCCACAAGAAAAAGACCTGTTATCAGACATCCACGTCTGCCATGGCTCTCTGCAGGGGATCCACCGCCCAGTAGTCATCATCCCAGCCCAGGAACCAGCCCGAGAAGGTGGGTGGTTCAAAGCCCTGCTTGACCACTGTCACCGGGGTTCTCCTGTCACGGTTGGCTGGGTCTGTCTCGATGTACCGTTTAGCTGAAAACACAGGTAGAAGGAAGTAAGAGTCTCGGGGAGCAACACCTGGAGCAGCTTCAGTGTAGCTAAATGGCTGCTTGAGATACAGTTGCAGATTGCTCATTTAAATTAAAACCAGAAGTTTTCACTCTGGTTTTATCTACACCTGGTAGAAGACTGGCAGTTGTTTGTAGAGAACTGACATGAGGGTTGGTCACATTAAAGAGTAAATTTGGCAGAAAATAGACACCTGTGCATTCCAGTTTATCCTCAGAGGGACTGGGGGCCCTACGTTTATAGATTCTGAGCAGTACCCCCTCTGTCACCGTTACGTGGTGTGAGATTGTCCTGCTTTACTTTTAAATGTGTACGTTAAAAATTCAGGGCAGCCTTTGGGATGGAGGCGTGTTTGGTATTGCGGCGAGATAATAATGACTAAAGTTCACACAAAGAACAGTGTTTTGTCAGAATATGACAGACCGTTGGCCCAGGGTAGCAAATACACAACTTATCAGTCACATGACTCAATCTCTGCTGTGATTCAGAGCCCGGCCGTGGAGCTGTCGCTCTGCTCCCCCCTCCATGCTGTTTTGGAGGCAGCATCGTCCAGGGGACCACCCTGGGATAGATCCCTTGCACAGCAGTTGTGCTCCACCCTGGAAGCTTCAGTGTTAATGCTTTATGTGTGAACAACGCCATGCCTTTTGACTTCTAAGTCACCTCCAGTAATTATTCCACAGGGCTGTAAAACACTGAGAGAGGGGCAGGCTCCTCTGCTGGGACAGTGCTCTGCAGCGGCGGGGAACGCTGCCCCTCTGTGCTCAGCTTGGGGATACTCCTCTCCCCAGAGATGGGATTGCTCACTGAGCACAACATCGAATTTTGTTGGGGTTAAGGTATGTTCCTCAGTATATTAAATTGCCTTACGATCAGATAGTGGGAAAACAGGAAACGGTTAGTTCCGAGAGGAAAATGTGACATTACCAGATTTCAAAGCCTCAGTCTTTTCTTCTTCTTGGGCATCTTTCCCAATCCATACAAAGACCTAAAGATAAAAACCCATATGAATTATTTCAGCCAACAGTCAATCTCTTTATGAAAGAAAGGAGAATTGAGACACAGTCTCAGTGAACAGTGTGACAAAAACGTCCTCGTGTTGGTGTGCCTGGATTGGTGACGGCGACTAAAGCCATTGCCAGATAACAAGAAGCCTTCCGACTGCAGTTTATCTACAAAAACTCTAGATAGAGGCAGAAATTATACACTAGCTTAACATCAGGAAAAGTTAGCAGATGTTTTAACATTTTTACACAGAACATACAAAATTAATCTCTTAAGTTGCCTTTTGGCTGATTTGTGCAATTATTGAAAAATTACAGAAAATGTGTCAGCATCATGAACTGCCAACTCTTAACAGTAGTTCACATCCCTCCAGCCGGGACGAGGGTGCTGCCCACGAGACATTTACAGGTGGGGCAGCCTGTATGACAGACAACAGCTCCTTTCCAACAGCCCTTAAACTGACAAAGGAGCAGCAGGACACCAACTCCTCTCACGTTCCGGGTGTAAGTTCTCCTCCATGTCACTAGAGAAGTGATTTGTCCTCAGGCCTGAAGACGAGAGGACTAGAATACGACAACTCTTCCCACTGTTGTCATCGGGGTCTCAATCCACAGCCAATTTGTGCATATTCTTTGCTCCTCTCTTCAGCAGGAAGATGTGACATACCTGATCCCACGTGTCGAGGAGCATAACATCATCTGTAGCGAGGTCATCCTGAGTCAGATCTCCAGGAACTTCTTCAATCTGGAAAACATAAAGTTAGGATGAACACAAACTTCAAGCGCCATTTTACCTTTATAGGAGAAGCCCAGTTCAGAGGCTGTAGTTTCCCCTCTGGTTGGTGAGGTGTGTGAAGCTGGACGCTGGCAGCTTCCGTCGCAGACGGGCGCTCGGACCACAGAACACACAAGCAGCCTCCACCTAGAGAACTGTCTCACTTGTGCCCGAGGCTTGTAATGCTGCCTCCTTCTACTTGATTCACGAGCTAAAATCTGAGGGGTCTGAATGCTCATCGTTAACCAGGGGAGGACCAGTTTGCTGCTTCAGAAAGTTGCTGTGCTGACACCAGTGCAACAGAACTAGCTGCTGTCTGCAGAAAAACGGTGCCGATGTTTCCTTGCAGAGGCAGTGCCGCTGAGGAAGAGAAGGTGTAACAGCCTGTGGCTGGCTCAGAGCAGACCAGGACTGAGTTTCTCTCAGCTCTGTCAGATGTGGAACTACTTGACTTTCTCTGATACTCACAGTGAAGCGTCCACTCTTGTTGGAGCATGCAAAAAGACGAGGGGGGTGAGCATCCATCTTCTTGTCCTTCAGCCGGGGAGAAGTACGGTAAGGAGCTTTTCCACCCAAAGCTGCCCAGAAATTCTCTGAAAAAAAGAGACACCAATGCTTCAACTATTCATGGCAATCGCAGTGGCAAGATGGTTTGGGGAGGACTTGAAGGACTATTCTATGTCAGAAAGTCCCAAAGGGCTACAAACATGAGCGTGTGGTTAAACATAAAGATACTCTGGAGAAGTCTCTCTGTGCCTCTGCCCACATTTCCTTGTCGTGGGAGAGAAAATATCCATGAAATAATCACTGAGAACGTGCAGCTACACAGAAACGTCCTCAGGCTCCGCTGTGCCTCCCTCACCTGGCTCTCTGCCCTCGGAGACCTGTACTGGGCGAGCTCCCAGTATCTTCAGCAGCTCCTGTGCACCCGATTTCTCGGTATCGCTGGCTCCTTGGCCAACCCAGAGGAAAGCAGCAGAGGGGGTTTTCAGGACAAAGGCGTCATTGGAGTTCAGCTGGCTGGCAGTAGGATCCAGCTGAAAAAAAACGAACATTGCAGGTGTCAGGTGTAATCGTGCTTTACACAGAGCCCATTATTTGAAAATAAAAATCAGTACCTGTCATTGAATAAACTGCGAACAAGATACAAGCATGTAAGGTTATAAGGTATGGTGTGGATTTGCTCATGTCTGAGCAATGAGTTAATCATACGAGGAGAGTAAATAAACATGTGCTGTGCTTTGTGTGTAATCTACAGATACATATGGCCTAGGGCAAGATTGGCCAGATCTGTCATTTTGCCAGTCTTCATGGTTATGACAAAAGGAAAATTTTTCACAAGGTGAACAATCACCCTCTGGAATAATCTCCCCGGGGAAGTGGTGGATTCCCCAGCACTGGACACTTTTACTATTCAGCTGGGCAGGGTGCTGGCCCATCTTGTCTAGATGGTGCTTTTGCCAAGAAAGGTTGAACCCTGAAGTCCCTTCCAACCTGGGACTCGATGATTCTGTGAGATTTAAAAACTCGTTGGGGAAACCACTGTAGAGCAGTACGTCTGTTGCTGAGGCTGATCACCCATTCGAGTAATTTCCTCAACAAGGACATGCCATCCTGAAGCTAGAAACTCGGGGAGTTGCTGCAG